TCCAGGAGTCAGTTGTCATCTGGTTCCGGACTTCAGCGATTTGGAGCTGAGACCAAGTGGCGCCAGCTTCATGAGGGTGTGACTGAAGCAACACAGCAATGTGTCCGTGAACGGGATGAGGGTGGTGAGGCACCTTTGAAGACCCCTCGCCTTGAGCATGACGTTCCTTCAGAACCGGGCTCATCCAATCTGGCACCTTTGATAGCTGAAGTCAAAATGGAACTTGAAAAGTGGGCTTTGAGCTCGGCAACTTCCCTTGAGGAGACAAACCGAACGAAGGCCATGATGGACGATTATGAAAAAGAAGCTCTATAGTTGGAACGGGAGCGGGGTCATCGCGCTGGTCCTGAACCTGGTCCCAGGGGTGAGATCTACTGGAAAGACATGACGCCGACAGAGCAGCGTTTGACAGTCCCTGCCCTGATCAAGGCGTTGGACATCCACTTCCAGTATAGTGCAGTGCAACCCGTGAAGCTCGACCAGGTTTTAGCCAAGGACACCACGCTGCAAAGTCGCTTCGTGATTGTGAATAAGAAGTGGATTCAGCGTGCCTTTGGTCCCAAGGGTCGGTTGTGCGTGGGGGGTCACTTGGATCCTCAAGCTGGGGAATATGAGACGTCATCACCAACAGCCCAGCTTCTTGGTCATCATCTTCTTTTAGTGATCACCGTCGCAAAATGCTGGCGAGGTCGTGGAGGAGACATCACCGCAGCCTTTTTGCAGGGTGAGCCCTTACCTCGAGAGAAACCCCTATACATCTGGTTTCCCCGGAAGTTGCCCGCTGAAGTACAGCAGTACTTGAATGACAAGTTGAAGGGGTTCCGCACCGATTTGGTGAAGGTCGTGAAGGGGGTTTTTTGGGCTCAACGAGTCACCACGGCTGTGGTACTTGGGTCTCCGTCGCCATTTGGTCGAACTTGGCTTCCGCGAGATGAAGCTTGCGCCTTGTGTCTTCACCTTGCATTTGGATGGTGCCTTGGAAGCTATGGCCACCGTGCATGTTGATGATGTGCTAGTGGCTGGTAGCCAGCGGACCGATGCTGTGTGGCAAGAACTGCAGCAACGGTTGACCTTTGGCAGCTGGACGGACACGATGACCGGGTTCAAGTTTTTGGTGCGGTTCATCACTCAGGATGAACACAGCTTCGAGATCACCACATCCATGAGCGAGTACTGCAACGACTTGCAGGAAGTGGCCTTGGAGAAGACAGCGCCTGAAGATCGGCCAATGACTCCGGAAGAAGTTAGTTCCTTGCGGACCATCGTGGGCAAGCTGAGTTGGGCGGCGAGACAAGGTCGCCCGGATGTTTTGTTCGGAGTCTCATTTTTGCAGCAGAGCATGAAGTCTCCGATGCTCAAACTTTTCAAATTAGCAAATGCCATTGCGCGAGTCCTGAGACAGGATTTGCCTCTTCGTTTTGTAGATCTTGGGTGTGATCTTTCAGAGGTGATCTTTGTGATATCCTCTGATGGTGCTTACGGCATTATGCCGGAGGGCAAATCGCAGCAAGGGTGGCTGGTGGGGTTGGCGCATCCTCGCATCAAAGAAGGAGCAGCCAAGATGAACTTGATTGAATGGCAGAGCACCGCATGCAAACGCGTGGTGCGATCGTCGATGGCCATTGAGGCCAGTGCTGCATCCTTAGCTTACGAACATGGAGAGTATGTTCGTGCCTTGTTTGGCGAGATCATGTTGGACAACTTCGCCATCAAGAGGTGGGGGCATTTCGTCCGCCTTTGGGAGATGTTGCTTGTCTTGGATGCCAAAACGGCCTTTGACACCTTGAAGTCCGACTCCCTGCCACAAGATAGACGCACTGCCTTGGACCTTCTCGCCTTGAAAGAATCCTTGCTCGATGATGCGAGCAACTCGTTTTGCCGATGGGTCCCTGGGCCACAGCAGTTGTCTGATGGATTGACGAAAGAAAAGGGGAACAAGATGCTTTCAGAGTTCATGGCAACCAATGAATGGTCGCTCAAAGAAGACACCATGTGGCAAGAACAAAGGGCCAGGCAACGCGAGAACCAACGGACCTACAAGGCCAAGTGGAAAACTGAGAGGGCCAATAGTGCCACCCCCGCAGAGGTGCCGGGTGAGTCAAACTGACTCTCATGGCATGTTCGATTGTCACTTTGCGTGTCCACTAGCCACCTACCTTCTCGAGCCTGTTTCGTGAAAAGGGTCGCATGGGTCTTCGCTCCGGGCCACCACTTTAAGTGAATCAGGTAATCAGGCCATACCAAACGCATCAAAAATTATCAAAAATTATCAAAATCGAGAAAATGAAAAGGTCTGAAGATGAAAGCAGTCACGGGATCTTGCTTCCTCACCCTTCCTTCCGCAAAAACACCAAACCTCTACTCACCTCCCATCCCCACCCCATCCGTTTACCCCCAAAACCCCCGATCTCGTCCGATCCAAGGCCCCGGGCGCCAAGCGTGGAAAGCCCACCTGGACCGGGTCGTGACGACGGTCGTCACCGCGGGCGCGGTCGCGGGCGCGCCGCTCGGAGCGGCGAAGTCGACACCTCGTGCTGGTCTGGCTCTGCGTCGATGTCCTGCGATCCGGGGGAAGACGAAGCACAGGGGGGTGACGGTGTGGCGGCGGTTGGTCACTTTGGTTCTCAGAAATCCCGGTGACATGGTGTGGCCACGTGGCCCTAAAGCCACGAGTAGCTGGTAGCCTTTTCCATGCCTGCATGATGAGATGCTTCCGGTAGAAGATTGAAACCTTGTAGTCTTCGCCAAACTCACCGCCTGTATAGGGGATCCCACACAGAAACTTCAAGACGGTGGAGCACAAAAAGAAATCCAGAAGAGCTTGCTCTCAACGCCTCATCATCATCCAACTCGGTGGAAGACCAAAGCATCTTCCCCACCACGGCGACCCACGGCGCCCGGATCGCCCGGACAACTGAGCACCGGACGGCATTGTTGCCTCTCCCACCCGACAAACCTGGGAGCTTCGGAGAGCTTCGGATCCCTTGAAAGGTCTGAAAACTCGGGGAAAAGGATGAAAAAGGGGACAAAGATGGACAAAGAGACATGGGATGGACATACTTCCAAATGGCTCTTCCCGTGGTCGGCGTAGTTGTACAGAATCTGCTTTGCAAACAAAGTGCAGAATCAGTGGTGTGAGTGTTTCTCATTTTGTTCCTCATAAACAGAGCGTTCCCAATGAAGCTGGCCCTGCCTTCATCTCCATCCATAACTGCTTTGCAGTCCTGGCATGTGTCAACACAAGCTTCTGAAATAGGAGTTGGAAGTTGGGAGGTCATTTTCACCGACTAGCACTGTGCTTTCTCCACTGCCTTCAAACAGATTGCTGCCCACTTCTATTCACTTCTTGACTTTTCGCATCCAAACACTCTGCAAACCTTCCTCTGCAGGATGCGCACCTCTCATCACATGCGAACCTTTCTGCGAATTCTCGTAACATCTCGTGACCTCTCGTGGAATATCCACCGTTGAGAAGCTGGAAAGGACGTTGCCCAAGAAATCCATTCATCTACAGTTATGATGTATCCAAAAAAAACACATTTTGGGGGGGAATGGATGTCCAAAATCCAAAACAATCAATTCATCTATACTGTTCTATAATTACAGTATATTGCAGTAATCCAAATTTATCATAATCTATCCAAAAAAATAACGAATCTCTCTGACCCAACCTACCCACTTCGGAACCATCGCTCGGATTCGTTCCTCGGTCAGGTCCGCCGTCTGTGGGAGCTCCTGCCGCGGACTCGGGTGCTCACGGTGCTTTCGTCTCGAAACGTCCAACAAGAATATCGCAGGATCCAACGGATAAACAGTGTCCATTCTTGTTTGGATCTTGGTTCTTTACAGTGTCCATTCTTTCCAAGACGGACGAAAGGGCGGGTGCTTTAGACAGTGATTCTGAAATTCTTCTCTTTTTGGGGGTGCTCAGTGCTCGTGGCGTTCACACATGGTTGTTGCGTAAGTTGAGAGCAAACACGAAAAAAAGCTGAGCGATCTTCCCTCGCGAAAAAGGGAACAACTCTTGGTCTTCACAGCAAGCCAAACTCCTCAGCGACCCCGGTGCCATGGAGGCGACCGCTGAAGTGCTATTCAAGGATAGTCCTGTTGAGGAGTCTTTGTCACTTGATCTGTAGTTATGTCGTTGGCTTTGGCGTTAGTGGGGTGGGCTGTGTATGGCTGTGCTACGATGACTTGCCTTCTTCGCGGCGGTTTGTAGGGGTATCCAGCAGGTTTGTTGTTGTTTCCTAGGCGTCTCTCGAAGTACTCCCTTTCTGCACACCCATGTTGGCTCAACTGACTCAGCTGCCTCAGTGACGGGGCAGGGCAATGTATATCATTAGCTGGCCTTTGCAACTGGTATGAAACTGATTGATCCGAAATTCCGTGTGCGACATGTCACACATTTTTCGCACAGATCCAGCAAAGACTTGGATCTTGATCAGATCCAACAAGTCAGCAATCCCGGTCCACATCATCCAATCCATGAAGGATGAAAACCAGTATCACATGCCGTTGCATCCTATATATTTATGATTTTTCAGCAAACCCGTTGTGGGATCATGCATCCAGGCATCCAGGCAAAAATGGGACCTGACACAGACCCAAGACCAGAAATGCATCGTGCATAGCTATTGCTGCCCCACTCACTGCTATTTGCTGCCACAGACGGATACACTACGACCGAGAAAGCCATTTTTCCTCCCCTGCGCATGGCCAAACAATCTCAAGAATGCTCAGAAATGTTCTCAGGATATCTTCAATCAAAGAGGCAATGAGTGCGGGGGTCTCTATTCAAAGACTATGGCGGCTATGAATGAATATGATCACAGCGTGTCCAACTGGAGCCTGAGCATCAAAAAAAGGCTAAAGCACCACACACCCGGACCGACCGGGGCTTTCTCAGTGATCAGGCTTTGAGTAGATGGTATGAAGGTCACTCAGCCGGAAGAAGAGCTTGTCAAATCTTTTTGCAGGTTGCAACAAGTTATGCACTAAGCTGGATAAAGAGAGGAGAGCTACTGTACTACTGTTGTAGCAGTATAAAACTAGCAGTAACATACAAGAACTAGCAGATTAGCAGAACATCACTAACAGTTCTTCCAATCCGTTCCCTAACTGCTCTCAGATTTGTGTAAAAGGCGGTCACTTCTTAGCCTCAATAAATCGAGCGGTGTTTGGCAACAAAACGAGACCGGCATCGATTTCATGTGATGTCTCGTTCTTGACCAAATCCAGACCACCTCCAAAAGGTGCAAGAGTTGAAGGAGTTGCTGGTCTGAATCCAAAATTATGCTTTCTATCTAAGAGAGCTTGGGACATTTGGGAAACCCCCAACTTTGGATCAACGATGCGCCGTTCTCTTACCGGAAGCATCTCTGTTTGTTCTCTCACCATTTTCTTTTGCTCGGCCGATCTCACCCTGGCTGAGCAGCACACAGGAATCGCTGTGCTGGCTCCACCTCCAAGCTGTTTCGCTTTCTCGAAGGAGTCCTTGAGGCCAGGAGAGACCTGTTCAGCCAGCGCCAACATGCGCCAACTATTTGTTAGTCAGCCCTCTCCTGTTGGTGCAACCGGCCCAAACAGGCATTCAAGCAAAAACAAGAAACGGCCTAGTTTCTTGTTGCTTCCTCCATCTGCGTTTCAGTACAGTATCTTAAGCGTATCCAAAAGCTGTGTCGTCGCACACTGGAGCAAGCTTTTAACACCTTCTACCATAAACCGCGCCTGCGCCGCCAGCCCAGGATACTTGACCTCCGATGCTTCATCGATGCCGATGGTTTCATCATCTTCATCGATGCATGCGTTTGTGGCGATTGTAAGATTACCATAGATGACCCCTCCTTAACAGGATAATACGGTGCTTCAAAATCTAGAACCCCCCCCACACACAAGACATCACCTGCAACAGGGTTGGATATTGCGGTAAACTTGCATCAGCTCCAATTCTCTTTTCGGAAGTGTGTCTAATCAGAAATGCATGGAAAGGGCATCATGAGAGTGGAAGTCCGCCCCAAAGGGCCATGTGCCGCAGGTGCCTCTGCCAACTCGATCAAGGTGCCCTGAACATCCTGGCACGTCTGCACTGATCTGTACTGCTTTGGGGTGGGAAAACGACAAGCTCTTTAAGCAACATGACTGCACTCCACTTTGTTTCATTTAAATCTTGATCGACTGGTCTCTGGTTCTGTTGTTCTAACTTGGAAAAAGAACTAAAAAGCCTTTGATCTGGGACCGAAACATCAGTTGTTCCAGCAGCTAGATCCCTACCAAATGCTGACTCGCTCCGGCTGTCTAAAGTGATTGAAGGGTGATTCGTCAGCCCAAGAGGCAAGACCAGGGCAACCCCCCAAAAGAACACCGGAAAAGTGAAAACCATGTGGAAAAAAAACTGAAAATAAAAAAAGAAACAATCAGTCCACGGCAGTCCATGGGGATTCATGGGGATGGTTCCAGAATCCAAAAAGAAACGATCCATGACGATCCATGGATCGGTCCTTCTGTCCAGGGATCGGGCGGCATGCGCTGACCTGGCGGACTGGCGCTGGAATCGACGAACGAGGACGAGCCGCATTGGTGGATGTCATCCCCAACGTAATCGGATTCTTTTGATCCTCATTGGGATTGATTCAGATTGATCGTAAAGGTTTGTCCCCAAAAAAACACAAAACCAAGCAAAGCCCTTCGCTCGGACCCCAAAACCGAGTTGATTCAAGTTGACATGATCTCTGCGTTTTTCAGCCAGAGGCCTTGGCGCCTTGGCTTGCCCAAGCTCGCCACTTCTTGGGCCTCCCGGCATCCACGCTCTTGGGCATCTCGTAGGGCCCACCCACGGGGAGCTTGGCCACTTCGGTGCGGGCGGCCTCGATCAGCCGAAATGCTCCGCGACGACGGACCGGAAGCGTTGGGGATCCGGTGCGCGGAGCCCGGACGGTGAAGTCGATGTGAAGTCGAGACTTCTGAGGTCGGAGTCGTCTTTTTAGTACTAATTAATGGTCTGCTTTAGATAGAAAATCCTGGATCGCAGGATCTTCCACAACGTCAGGAATCAGACCCCGTTCATACCAGTTCCATCAATCCATCAACGAATACCAAATATCAAAAAAAAGTATATTAGTCAATGTGATGTGAAGCCTTCTGCTGTTTTCCCTGATCTTCATTGTAGTTCTAAGATCCAATAGATTTGTGTTGAGCAATGGCAGCCATACATGACCAATCATCAAAAAAAGGTTTTTGTGAAAAAAATGAAAGTGCAAAAACAGTGCAATTTGCGTTGTTTTGGCATTTGTTTTTTCCTGGTACCACTTCTGCACTTATGAGAACTTTTACCCGTCAGCAAGATTTGCTGTACGTTCCTAGAAAAAAAACGAAAAAACAAAACAAATGCGAAAATAAAGCGAAAAAATGCGAAAATAAAACGAAAAAATGCGACAGAACGGGTGCTCCTGGGAGATGTTTTTGGTGTCACGCCCACTCGCGACCCGCAGCGGCGCGCGCGTTTGGTGGAAATCATATTTCGGTTGTTGGGGGGGGGGGGGGGGGGGGGGGGGGGGTTCAGTTACGTCGTTCAGTTACGTCGTTCACGGAACGTCGTCACGGAAACCAGCGGGTTCAGTTACGTCGATACGTCGTCGTGGATACGTGTCCCTTCGTTGTTGTGTGTCTTTGTGTGTTGTGATTCTTCTTCGTTTGACTCGTCGTGACTCGTCTTTTGTCTTTCCGTCTTCGTTGTTTTTTTTCGCGTGGACATTTTTTACTTGGACAGTTTGCTGGACCTGGCGACGTCGGTCAAGGATTCACTAGGTGTAGCCGCGCTCGACATTTGTTTAGATCCGGACCGGTGGGTTTTAGATTTCGATTCTCTCGAGGTGTACGGTGAATTTTTGTGGTTGTGTTGGGTGTCCGTGTGGGACCAATTCAACAGACAATCGTTCGTACCACCTACGGTCACGGCCGCGTTGTTTGTTTTGAGTCGGCGACTTCTTCGTTTTCGCGACTTGTCGGTGGCTGCCATGCCGGAATGTCTGGCTGATACGGTGCGTTCAACGGGTCGCACACCGTCTCCCAAGCGATCTTCCTCAGAAGAGCTTTGGAAGCACGGAGTATTGATGTCGTGGCTCTATTTTTTTAGCACTGACAAGTACTACGGGGAGATTCGATTGATGAAAACGAAACATTTTTTCGGAGAGTCTCGGAAATGTTACCTCCCTGAGGCAACTCCAAGTCCTCGTACTTTGCATTCCTAAGTGGAGCATCTAGCCGCAGAGCCAGTATCGCCACTGACAGCAGATGACAGTCCGTGGAGCAAGAAATATAAGAGTTTCTTGGCTGACATCTATTTTGGGTTCCCGGCACTGAATTTCCTGTGCCACGTTTTGTTTGGGGTCATTCTGTCGTAAAAGCGTTTTCAAACAAACTAGAGCCTGCGCGGCTGTAGGTTGGGCGATTCAGCAAACAGCAGCTGCAAGCTTATTCTCTGAGGAGTTCCCTAAAGAGGTTGCCGTAGACACACCATCTCCGCCACACAGTCCGGACAGGAGTGCGACAGGGGATTAGTTTTGATTTAAGCTATATAGTGTATAGTGTCTCTGGACGCTATGTTTTTCTCTCCGTGCTTTCTTTCCTTGAGGAGTTGTCTCTTGAATGATGACATGGCGGATATGGCCGAATCCGGCGCAGGATCCGCGGAAGTTGCTTCCGACCGTGACACCGTCACTCTTGCGGATGCTGCTGCTGCTTCGGACGACTTCGGGAAATCTTCTAGCGCTACAATGCAGGAGCAGATGCGCGCTGAAGAAGCCGAATACATGACGCGCTATAGTCTCGAGTGGAACTCTGGAGTGGCATGCTGGAGTCAGGAAACAAGAAGTGAAGACCCCATATCAGACTACGATTCTCCAATGCCTGCGCCAAAACGTGCTCCGAGAGCGTGTAAATACGGGCGCTGCTCTGTGCATGGATGCCCCTTCAAAGTGCATCCCAAATTCCAATCAGATTTGGATTCGCTGTGCCAAATTCTGGGAGCGGCTTCCAAACGGAAAGCCTGGATGTTGGAAGGGTGGTCCTTACAGAGGTGACAAATCCTCGCTTCCGAAGTCCATCCTTCATCAGCAAGCGCACCAGCGGAAGCATATCGGCTGGCTGGTGAAGCACGGGCCTCAAACGAAGCGATGACCATGGTTGAGACTGTGAAAACACATTGGTGCCACACGATGGGGGTGCTTCGGACGGAGACTGGACGACAGTTGATATACATGTTTATAAGATATATGATATATAAGATTTACGATACCATGTGTTTAAGATCTATATATATTATATACGAGACCATGTATATAAGATATTTGATACCGTGCATATCTGTTGACTCGAAATGGTTTCACTCGGCTGGCGGCTGCCGGGTTTTGTTGAGTTGTTTTTTCCACTCGGTCGAGACACCAGGTTTCCGGGTACTTGGCAACCATGCAGTGCTGTTTGTCGAGCATACGCATGTCCAAATCAGGGTTTGGCTTTCAGGGGATATGAAAGCCACGTTTTTGCATGAGTGTGCGAGATGTGGATCATGTTTCTGTCAAACAATACATACTCTTCATAATTCGAAGAGTTAAGCAGTGACTCACACAGTCCTTTGGCAAATTTTCGCACACTTTCACTTCGATACTTGCGCTCATGGTCTGCAGTTTGTGTGGGAAGCAAGGGCACAGTGTGACCACGTGCACTGTGCACGGGGCTGCTTTTCACCGCAAGCTGCTGAAATTGCACTGCGCCAAATCCAAGCAAGAAGGCCGGCGGCCGCCTCGCCTTGGGGGACAGACTCAGAAAGTGATCCAATCGCAGCAGAAAATGAAGTACTCCGGTCCAAAAGCTGCGCAGAGATTGCGCGAGAAGAAAGGCAAGAAGGAGCTCAAAAAACCAGGGATTTTGGTGGAAGATGCATTTGAGGCCTGTGACCGCTTGCAAGCTGCTGGCTTTTTGCAGAATCCCAAAAGATGCCCTGTGTGCAAAGGTCTTTTGTCGGACCGGTTCTTGTTCGGAAAGGGTGAGAGGCATGTGGCTGTAAAATGCAACAGCAATGAATGCCGTCGCCGCTTCAATGTCTTTTACTTTTCCGACAAACTTCCGGACAAGATCAGTCGTGCTATGACACCTCAGCAGGTTCTAGGAGCCGTGACATTGTATGTTCAGAGTGGGACCAAATGCACTCCAAGTCCTTGGAATGCTGCCCGTGTGCTGGGTTGTGGTCGCAAAGGGCCTGAGCGTTTGTTCAAAGTCTTTGCGGACAAGGAAGCTGCTGCTGGAAGGAGGCTATGCAACACTATGCGACTCAATTCAAAAGTTGAACTCGATGTGACATCCTTGCGAGCGGCGAAAATCAGCACTGCAAACCCCAACTTCGCTCAAGAAGTTGAAGTCTCGAAATCTGGCCATGTGGGCCAAAGGGTGCCCAAGTACTTCTTGCTTTACATACCGATTGCTGGTGCCAGTCAGAGGGGATTGTCGAAGCTGTGCATTGCTAAGTTGCCTTATGTGTTGGTGGCTCCAAAAGCGAAGCCACCGGTGGAGTCGAAACAAGATGTGCAGGCTTCGAGATTGTTCGCTCGCATCAACGCTGGCACCACATGCTACACCGATGGCAAACGGTCTTGGAAAGCTGTCGCCAAGGATGTCAAGAAGCAGATTTGGTGAAATCCGTCAGCCACCGAAACGCGCAATTCACGAAGAACCTCAAGGGCCCCAAGCGCAAGGGCTATCGGTGGGACTCAGCAATTAGATCGATGCTGGCACCACTTGAAGCGCTTCGTTGCTTGCAACCTCAAGACGAAGGTCAAGAGGCAGATCAATGCTGCTATCTTGGACAAAGCGTTCCAGTTTGTGTGGAGGTACAATGCCTCCACGCAAGATGCCACGGAAAGACTGGCGTCCTTGTAACCTGAGTTGCGCAAAGAAAAGTCAGTTTGCAACTTTTTGGGGGTTGGACAGAAACGTACACTTGTAAATCCCCTTAGAATTTCAGATCAACGTCCAAAAAAAGGGGGAATTGTGGAGCGAAATGAACATGCGAACATATGGGACAACATTGGAAACATTGGGAAGGACCATGGATGCATTTCAAATGACCTGAATACTGTGTGCACGACTACGCGGGTCACTCGGGGTCGTGTTACCATGTTTTTCATGCAAAAAATGATGCAAAAACACTGTTTTTCAGTGTTTTCTTGCAAAAACCTCTCCAAAATTGAGGTTTTGAGCTATTTTTTGATCAATTTTGTGAGATCCAAGCCTATCCCAATTTAGAGGGAATACCAAAAAAACAAAAACAAAAAACACAAAAAAAACAAAAAAAATAAAAAAACAATATTTGAGACAAAATGGGGTCACTATTGGTTTTTGGATGTTGGCTGCATTTTTTGTCAAACATTGTTTTTTTGTTTTTTTTTGTTTTTTGTTTTTTTGGTGTTTTGTTTTTTGTTTTTTGGTTTTTGTTTTTTTGGAAAACTTTGTCGCACAGCAGGCATTGCTAATAAGTATCGCAATCTTTATTTAATATATTACTTTTCTGAGACGGTTGCATAAATTTGAGGGTTTGTACAACGGCTCTTGCCGAGTACTCGCGCCACTATGCTTCCGATAGTGTCGCTATACGCAAGCGCTGCGCCGAAAATTTGGACGCTCTCACGCATGGCGGCCATCACTTCATTGCCTTCATGGCCTTCAAGACTCGCACGCTTCGATGCCCCCTTACCCTTGCGCTTCAGGTTGCAAGAGTATGGCTTGGAGATCTTGCGGGATTGCTTCTTCCATTTGAACTGATTCAAGTGCTCCGTCTTTCCAGCAGTCATCAAGTCATTGTGCCAGGTACAGAAGAGAAGCACTGCGAACCTATGACGGAGAGAGCGCATGTCGTTCAAGAAATTGGCATAGCCCCTGAACCATGAGAAGGTCTGCTCCTGGCATCGAAGTATTGATAGATCCCAATCTCTTCTTGAGACTCTTTTTGGCCAATGGGTTGCAAGGACATGTGCTTTTGTGGCGGTATGCGTGGAACTTGTCCAACGAGTAGTACTTGGTTTGCGAAAGCTCCGGGTTGTGGATAGCTGAGGACTTGTCGTGGCAACAGCGATCGAGTATGAGAAGGTCAACCTTGGGGTAAAGTGGCAAAACCTTGGTCACCGACTTTGTGACTATCTCATTGTTCTCTGGCTTGTCCAAGCTTTCAATGGCCAGGATGCGAGAGGTACACGGGTCAATGACCATGAACCATCCATGGTTGCGCTCTTCCTTTTTGACTCCATCTTTGCGAGGACGACCTGACCGAGATGTGGGCACCTTCTTTCCAAGACACTTCATGAGAACCTTTTGATGGCCATCACACACAATGGCAGTGACTTTGTTTCGACGAGATGGAGGAAACAGATTCTCATGGCAGAAGTGGTCATACTGATTCAGGGTCTCTTCATTGAGTTCATTTCCAATGGCAAGGCTTGTATGTTTGCCAATCTTCTCCCATTCAATGGCAACCATGTAGTAGACAAGAGCATCGTAATGCAATTTCCTGAAGTTGCCTTCCCAACCCATTTTATCGCCACATCCATCGAAAAAGGTTTTCTCATAGCACCACTCTAAGCCTCTGGCAGAGGCAGCGCAACGGAAAAGTAGATGAGCATGGTATTTCAAGTATCGAATGGTGAAGCCTACCTTGGAGTTGATGAACAAAACCTGCTCCAAACCCATGGGCGAAACCACAACCGTGTTGAGGAGATCACCACTGCGACGACGGAAATTGGGTCCATATTCCATACTGCAGTTTCTACATTGCTTGGTATCGATAAGTACACGCTCCTTTCCAGTCAGATCATAGACGACAGCCTGGATAGTATGGTGCTTTTGTAGTTTCCATCCACATCTGCACAAAGACAAAGACGTGGAGTGAGTGCTCACCTTCTTCATTGAGGAAGCTCCACCTTCAACGTCAACAGCAGGAGGGAAAGGAGACAAGTGCGTCTTGAGGAGAACAAGTCTGAAGATACTGTGCTCCTTGGAAAGTATGATTCGATGAAGTTCAGCTAATGATGTATTCCTTTTCGTTCCATCATCATGAATTACAGCCATCCCCTCCAAGACAGATGCTGCAAAGAAATGCTGATCATCAGCCGGGTGGACCAAGTACTTTCCGTCTATTCCAATTTCACAGGCTCGCACTGCCTTCAACGTTGCACCCAAAGGATTGAGAAGGGACACACATTGTGTGAGCATTGTGAGACTCTAAAGGGCCCGTTGGAGGAGACAGCGATTGGTACACCTAGAGCTTGAAGAGCAATGATAGCACGGACCTTTTTAAAGCCTTCTCCGTCTGCAGATGCACCGCCAGAAACATCTTCATCCACATCCATTTCATCACCTTCATCATCTGGTGGCTGTTGTTGGATGGAAGAGAAGACGCCTCCAATCTGCAAAGGCGTTCCACATGCGGAACAGACCCGATGAGCATCACGAGCTTCATGAGGCATGTAGTAGATGTGACATTGCACGCAAGCCTTACTGCTTACAACTGTACATTTTTACAAATTACATGTACAAAAAATAACTACAAGGGGTATACACGAACAGTTATCAATTGCAACTTGAAGTCTATTAAAAAACAAAACATTAAAATTAGTTCTTGCATTCAGTAAACTATGGACTTCAGATGAGTGAAGATCAGTAGGGTCATGAACAGGTACAGGAGGCGCATATTCACATTGATTGCCATCGTGTTCATGAGACGAATCACCACATTGTTCATTTTGTTCATAGTCAGGCAAGGGAAGTTCACCACCTTGTTCATCTTCTTCATGGTCAGCTAGAGGATGTTCAGCAGAAGCAGGTTCACATTCCTCATGTTGCTCATGATCAGGCAAGGGATGTTCTTCAGATGCTGGATCACGTTGTTGACCGTGAAGCTGAGCAAGCACTGGTGCCGTGGATGGGCTCGAAGAGACCTCAACCTTCACTTGCTTCAGTGGCTTTTGAGGCGAAGGGGTGTCCAAGTCGATGGGCTCATGGAAGGCTTGAGAAACCAAGCGCTTGAAGACATTTGATGGTGTCTCATTTGGTTCCTCTTTGCAACGGATGGGTGACAAAGGGGACAAAGGTACTGGCGGCAACTCTGTGGAGGAGTCCGTGAACAACCCATGCCCTTGAACAGACAGCAGCCATGGTGGTAGAGGTTTGTCTTCCAAAAGTGCAGTGAGCCAAGCCTGTTCCCAGTCAAGCTGTTCTTGAAAGCTTGAATGGGGCTCCTTGTTGCCATGCCGATACTGTATATACCTTTCACCTGCGACTGGGCGCAGAAAAGAAGGAAAAGAAGCATCTGCAGGAAGACGGACACGCTGCACAGACACCTCTTTGTCACCTGCTGGGCGAACATAGAGGTAAGTGTGATTGTGTGTGCGGGCGTTGACGCAAATGCTGGACCTCTTGAGCGCGGCAAGAATGTTTTCCTTCGAGGTGTCCTTGGGCCACGCCAGTGCCAACATATCCAAGAACTCTTGATGGGTGATCGCAGACTTGTTAGTGTCAGGTGCCATGTTATCTTTGGGCTCGGCATTGGCGTCGAAGTCATTTACACACCACACACGTAGCTGCTGCATTACGAACTTGGCGGCTCCCCACCTTTCTTTCGTCATGGCTTCTTCCAAGCCAACATCAGCAAAGGCCTTCAATTTCTTGATCAATTGATCTTGGAAGGTTCCATCATCAAACAAGTCTGGCCTTGTCAGACGACCCACTTGGCCACGAAAAAAATCAAATTCGCTGGCCGTGCGAAATCCTGGTCGTCTTTTGATTTCACTTTGTTGACCCAATACCTGGAGAAGGCCATGCAAATGATGCGGGCCAAAGGTGTCTTGCCAAAGCCCGCCGTGCCATGAAACCCAAGAGACTTCTCCCTACAAAGGCGAAGTATGGGAATGATTTCTTTGAGGGCACAGACATTGACATCAGCGAGTGTGAAGTGAAAGTCAGTCACCAGCTGAGCAAGTACACCATCATTGGCAAGATTCCTGAGAGATTTTTCTACAAGACGCTCAGACGAGCAGCTCAAGCAAATCTTTTTGGAAAAGAGATTCCATGACCTACCTCCTCCATTCGGATTCAAATCGTCTCCTGGCATGGCGGTAAAGGTCAACTGGGTGCTCTTCACACGAGAAGATGGGAAGAAGCTTTTGCTGAAAGACATCAACCTAGACAAGAAGGTCAAGGCATCATTCATCAAATCCATCTCCCATGGTGATCTCTACGCATTCACATGGGAAGGTAATGTCAAAAACGTCGTGAAGGCAATTGTGTACATGATCCACAACATGAAAGTTGGAAGGGGAGGCTTTATTTGCATGTGTCAAGCTTTAAAGCCTGAAGGCAACAGCTCTGAAGCCTTCAACTTTCATGAGCAAGATGCAGACGATTTAGATCGTGGTTTCGACTTCATCGAGCAAGAAGGGCCAAGGGAGAATGTAAAGAACATACACCTACGATGGATCACCAAGCAGCTCAACAACCCCAAGAGCCCAATTCACCAGTAGCATCGAAGTGGCCAGAACACATATGGGACTCCAAGAATTGTGGACCCTTGTCTAAATTGACCAATTTCAAATAATTGGTCGCATTCAACGCATCCTCAAAACTGACATTGCCATCTGCTGCCATGATTCGTCTGGTATGAGCTTTTACGATTTGGGACCAAAAGGCTTTGGTAGAGGCAGATGAACAGAGATGAATACAGATGTCAACAAAAGATGAAGGCACCTTTGTGGCTATCTTTTGATTGCATTTTTTACAACAAGAACACATAAAACTACATCATAAAAAGTCACATAAGCAAGAAAATCAAGCAGTATCATTGACATATATGTTTATCTTGATATATATATATATACAATAATCAAACTGAAACTGATAATTTTTTTGGTATTACACATTGACAGGCAAAGGGAGATAGGGCTGTTATTTGTTGTTGTCATTGACATTGGATATGGAGACTGGGCACAGACACATCAAAAAATTTGCGTTTCGCCTAGTTCTCAGAGCAGTTTTTGAAATTTTGCACGGTATTTACAGTGTTTTCTACGGGTTTTTAGCTAGTGTGTGCTCTCCCAAGCACACCCACCCTCAAAATAAAGCGGAAAAACGTGAAAAAAAACACACAAACAAACACAGCTACATGTTGTTGTTTTTTGTTTGTTTTACCTGTTGATTTTTTGTGTTTAAAAAATATTTTGGTTCCTTGTACCTATGGCTGGCGAGCCCAGCTCAACAATAGATCTTGCAAATCCTGGCATTGTCTTTAGGATCAGATCCTGGTTGAAAACGCACACAAAGGCTCTGTGTCAGGCCTCGAGCTGCTTCTTCTCCTCCAGCAGCCGCGGCAAAATGTCCTCCGATAAGAGCTGTCGCTGACAAAACAGCTCGAACATGCCCGGTCACAAACAGTCCGGGGATGTGGGGCCCCGCATGTCGTTCCTTTGGCCATGGCTTCTTAGGATTCTTTGCCGGTGTAAGCTAAGAGTCCACCAGAAGAAAAGGAGATGGCGCCCACGAACCCGAGTGCACACACGCTCTCCCAGAAGCTGCTTCCCGTACTGCATTTGCACTACCAAGTGGCCAGCTCTGAGGCCAGGCCACAGCTTCCACAAGCTGTTCCCCGTACTACATTGGTACTTCTCAAGCCAGCTCCCAGAGGCTGCTTCCCGTACTGCAAGGCTTCCATCCAATCCACAAGCCTCCCCCCCGGAGGGGAATAATTTCAACACTTCTGAGCATGCTCACATCCACCAGAGTCGCAGCTTTTGCTGAGACCTGTCACGAAACAACTTCGAAGCAATAGCCCGAAACCCAAACCCCACTGTTACAGCGACATCCAACACCTCAAACATACCACCCTCAACGCCAATCTCACTCTCACAGTGAAGGAAACTGAGGATCTCACAAAACGCTGCACCTGCGCAGCAAAATCATCCTCCACACTTCAACATAATATGTTTCCATACAAGCACGTGTCCCCGCTTTTTCACGCAAATCTGACGCGTTATGCTTCCATCCCAAAGCACTGTCAGGGAATTAACAACGACCCGACGACCCGACGACACACACGATGCAAACACAGGTCGCCCCCAGACCCCCAGACTATAAACGGGAACCCTTTGCTACGCATTCGGGAAAAAAATAACTCTAGAGCCCTGGTCAAAACGGTATATAGATGCCAAAAAGGAAATGAACAATATGGAATTAATACATGGAAATACTGTGGTAGCATGTTGTAGCAATTGCTTATATAACAAATTGTAGTAGAATATGTGATCTGATCTAATCTTCCATCTAAAACACCCCAACCTCTTCGGTCTCTCAAAACCTCCCAGTTGCACTCTTCCACCCTCGCGCGGTTCCGCATGTGTGCTCGCGCCCACATTGCACCTCAATGAGCTCCAGCTGCTGGAAATTCACCGGCAACTGGGGGGAGTGTTTCGTGGACGGCAGACAGAAGGGTCCACCGTTTTGGGGTCACCAGCATCTCCCGTCGCCCCGGCCCGTGTAGTCTGTGAAGTATCTTTTTTGTAGCCAATGGGAAGCGCGATAATCGAGGTCTGAATTCTTGGCTCGGGTTTCGGCTTTATCCGACATGTCCTCCTGTCAGGTCAGGAAAGAATGGAGTTTCTGGTAGGGGAGGAACGTTGTAGTGGTACATGCATCAAACCGCTGTATTTGGCCGTGGGTCGACTTTGTAAGTTATGTTCTTCTTTAGACATTTCCCTCCCAAGAATAGAACCTGTGCACCTCCACAAGATTCCACAAGTCCCTGACATCCTTCCACATCCTGGGCCTTGTTGTCATATGCGATCTGCGCTTTTCGGGCAAGTTCCGGATCAAAATTCTTCATTTGTTCGATGTTGTCCTGGGTGCAACGAGCTGCACGAGCCTGATGGACCATGGACATCCATAAACCCCTTGGAAAAACCCTGATCAATCAGGACGTGAACTACCCAACCCCCTCATTGCGGCTCAATCTCTTGGACCATACATGACACCAATGTGACAAGCTCAGACGGAGTACATTCACCGAAACAGGCGTTTGAACGCACCGTGACGCAGGTCGGTCGGTCTCCTGCGAAAAGGACGCACGCATCTGGGCAATGGTCCTGAGTGCCATCAACGCAGCGAGCTCGTTGACCCCCTGATATTACAAGGTCCAAAGCACTATGGGGGAAACCACGACAGAAAGATCACTGAACCATGGAGACACAAAAACTGGATGCCTGAGTGTCCATGGACCAAGATTGCCTAAAATTCTCAAGAAATGCGGTTGATCTGTAAGTGTCTTCTCTTAATTACGCAGATTCCACAGAAACACCGCATCAAGAACCCCGGACCAAGATGGACATGGTCACTGTGCGATTCCATCCCACCACCAGACCATCTGCAAGTTCGTCCTCATTTCCAAGAGCTTTGAGACCACCATGATGCCGGGATGACCTGCGGCAGGTTCCACCACCGGTCCGCGCGCAATCGGTCTGCTGCCTTCCGCGCAAACTGAGCTGGGAACTGACAAATCGGAACTGCTGCTCCAAGCCGAACTGCATGAAGACATCTGGCACCTCAACCAGGGCATGATACTTCTTGGTAAGGGATAATACTGCAATTCATGTGATAAGCAATGACGGTGAGCATATGTTCTCTGAAATTCTACTGGGAGCCAGTCGAAAGGTAGACAATGGCAAGTCGGTCAGATCGACCAAAGAGCTCTCCTGGCTAGCTCAGGTAATTATGGGCCTTCTCAGCACAGCGGCGGAAGCTGCGAACGAAAGCCATGGTAGCGGCAGAGTGGGTGCTGCAACGACGAAGGTTGGGAACCCCTTGAGCCACTAACGCTCACAGCTTGTGGGACACAGGAACCATCGAAGGTATCAAGCAAATGGATCAGAAAGGGGTGGTAGCTTCCCGGTCCAAATACGCAACCTCGGTGCACCTCAGGTCAAACAGGAGGTCTTTCCCATCTATGGCCAGGGATCCGCATGGATCTGGCATGATCTGCCACTTGTCAAGTGGCAGGGACGTCTTCCGTTTCAATGCACGAAGGAATCAGAAGGAAAACACCTCTTGACGGCTTCCCCGAGCGAAGAGTGAACAGCTCGGCGAGAGGCCCATTTCTTCGCCAAGAGGGTGGTGCGCAATTTCCCGCAAGGTCGCACCACCTCCCAACCTACAAGCAAACTATAAGACCTGTGTTCCTTCCTTTTCTTTGTTTCTAATAATAGCGATGGCCTCCAACCGAATACCGACGGCCTCCAACCTAAGAGTGATGACCTTCAACCTAAGAGCGGCCTCTTTTTGCTTTCGCAGACTAAGAAGAAGCGACAGGTTCCCTGTACGACGTGATGTCTTCTTCAGCATCGGGAAGATTCTGATGCCGTGTGAAGGCGCCTTCACCGGTTTGCGCCAAACCAGCCACCAGCCGTCTCGTTACATGCTCAGACTCTCAGTCACCAAGTGCTCTTCCATTGACCTGGGCGGCTGAGCGCAGCTGAGCGCAGCACGTCTTCTAAACACCGGAGCCACTCGTCTTCGTTTGGATCCCCCGTCCAGAGGCTGCCCGGAGACCACCCGCCCCTGCGCCCGCGAACCCGGCCTCAACGTGGGGAAGTCAAAAACCAGCGATGGGCTCAAAGCCATCTGGAACTCCTGTGCGACCCATCCCATGGGCCATTCAGAATGTGTGGCCGTAGGGAACGAAAGGCATTTTCTGAGGGATTCTGAGGGATTGTGACCATGAAAACCACCTCGTTCTAGGTGAATCCTAAGCTTAAAGGGAATATGGAATTGCGTGGCTTGAGCCCAGAAAACTGACCCAGGTGGCCCTGTGACCGCCGAGTCTACCCACTTCTGGGTACACAGTAAACTCTGAAAAAAGATGTTGAATTTGCATCCATCCAAATGAGGTGCGCATCAACCTGAATTTCTAAAATGGCTTGTGGCTGCCACCCTGAGGTCACCTCTCTTCAGGCCACTCCAAATGTCCTTCCCTGCTTCTCTTCCTTTCTCTGAACCCGGTTCTCCCAGTCCTTTGCCACCATGCTCATCAAGGCTACACTGGACAAGCTGTCCATGCCAGCATCCATGAAGGGGCTGTCCAGTTCCAGCTCTTCGTCACTGGCAATCGCATCCTTCACCATGGCCGCCAGCTGCTTGCGCACGTAGACCGGATCCAAGCCCTGAACACGAGGGGCGGCGTCCAGAGCTATTGGTTCGGAAAGAGAAGACAAGAAGCCCGGTGGAAGAAGTCCGCAAAAGCAAGTGTGATGCGAGGAAAAAAAACCTTGGCCAAACGGTTGATCTGGGGGTTGAAGTTTGGAGCATGTCTTCCCATGGATATGCATGCTGTGAATCTAAGAAAGGTCCAGTTCCTCCAAAATGGGAGGCTTCAAACTACTCCCGCGCACCTTCTGCTCTGGCGGTGCCGCCACTGACTCGACCACGGGAGCAGCAGCTGCTGGCTGTCCAGGGGCGGGAGCCACAAGCTGTGGCTGTTCAATCCTTGCACCAAGGATTTTCCAATGAAGGAAAGGGTTTGTTCAGCTTGAGTGTTGACTTGTTCTTCATTGTGGATGGGTTTTCTAATGCTTCTGCTGATCATGTCCCAAAAGAGAAAGGACGGGGCTTCCCGATACAGGAGCCACTGCTACCCAACATGCCCTGCTGACTATATATATATATATTAATGTATTTGGGCACAGCGTGGGGTGAATCACATTTGTACTTCTTCCCATGAACTGCGAGGGGATACGTACCCTACAGATACACACTCAACAACCAATGTGCAAGTGAAAAACTCCTGGTTTGGAAACGGTCGCAGACTAGTCTGAGGTGGTCACACTTCGATTGCAGCCCACCCACACCAGGCGTCACCGTCATCATCGAATTACCCAGCGCTGCACTTGAAAAGCAACGGGTAAACAGCCCAGGCGCTGCGCTTGAGCAGCCCGCTCTTGTTCCTTCTTCTTCTCCTCCAGTGCTTTCCGGAAGGACAAGACCTCCGGCCAGCAGGACGGAAGGTCAAGCTTCAGAGAAAAGACACGAGATTCTTGGACAATATATGATATATATGTGAATAAAAAATACGATATATATTTACCGAATTTATATTTATATGAATGTATTTTATATATATATATATATTGAGTCTTTGATCTCGTCCTTGGGTTTGTGCATCTATTTCAGAACCTTTCCCTAATTCATCAAGGAGCCACGTCGGCCGCCTTCACGACCTCCCACGATGTCGATCCTCCCACAACCTCCACGGCCCCAACGCTGCCCTGCTCCGACCGTGCCGCCTCATCGGCCAGTTGGTGGTCACCGATGTCCTTGGCGATCAGGTCGGCCTTCTCCACGTCCGCCTCACCCTGTTCCACCTGGCCTGGCTGCTTCGGACTAAAAGGAGCTCTGCCAAGGCCCACGGGGCTGAAGACAAGGTAAGGGACGAGGTTGTGTGACTCACAGTGGCGGTCATACATGGTCATACCCATCACTACAACATCCTACAACTCCTCCGGCCCATGGGAATCAACCAAAGGGCGGGTCTCCATGTTTCGGCAAGAAGAACCCCTCACTGTCTGTGCACCTAAGGCATGTTTGATGTTGCCAGACAGCAGCATGCAGCGGCCCAAGGCTTGATAGTGATCCATCTCCTGGGACGAAGCCCCGACGCACGGTGCATTACGCTACGGTGCGTTGGTGAGGTTTGCTCTCCACAAGTCGGAAGCGCAGGGCCAAAGGAGAAGAGGCAAAGAAATGGAAAAAGGAGTGAACAAGTTAAACATGGACATAGAAGGACATGTGCGCGGCGGCTGTTTGTTTCGTACTAAACTCAAATACACTAACACATACTAACACTATCTATTCTGTGGGAGCCCTATCTCGTTTAGACTTCTTAAGTAAGAGGTCATATCACACTATCTCGTTCAGACTACTTTAGTTGTCATCAAGCAAAGGTATCTCGTTTATGTGGGGGGTTCACAAGCGAATACTGATGATAGACAAGCAAATACAGCATGCATGAGCATGCCGTAGACTAAAGCCAAAGTAAAAGTGGTTGCTCTAACACTTCACATGACGAATTTTCATGGAATCAGTTTGATCCTTTGTTTCCATCTCCATGTTGAAACCTCGGTTTCCACTCTCTCGTCATTGAAGACTCGGTGGCCAATCGCCTCGAAGATCGCAGCAGCCTCCTTGACATCTCTGAGGCCAGTTTGGTGCCTGTCAAGGGCGTCGAAGAAATCGTCTGCAGGGACTCAAGCGGGGTGTGCATACTGCGTGCACTGCGTACGGCTGAAGGTGGAAGGCGGAATGGGAAGCAAGAAAACAACAAAGAATTCCAAAATTGCGCAAACCTGATGGTGCAAGACGTGACCACCTGACAGCATGAGACACCACATTATTCTTGACAACACGTCGACACAAGGTTTGTCATGGACCCCAGTCAGCTTCGTAGCGTGCGGGAACTGCACTGCCAACGCCAGAATGGTTGTTTGGGGTGAGGCTGGCACTCATTGCTTCTGACGCAAAGTTCCTCTAACACGGTCCAAGAGCCTGAGTGTTCAACTCTCTAGTGATGCAACAACTCTTCTTAACCGAACCTCGAGTGGCGAAAACTCAATATCCCGGTGATTCTGTCCAAGTATTTAGTCACTGTCACGTGGACTCACCAAACATCTCAGAGCTAACGACACACTCAAACAGGCAAACAAAATAAATAAGCCGAGAAGAGACCCAAGTTTCAGCCAAAATGGCAACAAAAGCAATGTGGAACATGCTACCTCCCTACTAGGGAGTTACCTCCCTAGTAGGGAGATTCCTCATGACTGGGGATCTACCTCCCAACTGGGAAGCTACTTCCCCCCTAGAAGGTAGCTATCCATCATATCTCATGACTGGCCCTTAGTGGAGAGCTACCTCCCCACTGGAGAGCTATCACTCTAGCAGGGAGCTCTCACGCGCGCGCATGCGCGGCCGTTCACTGCCTGCCAGCAAGCACCATTGTCCTTGGCTCACTTGGAAGCTCAGTTGGACAGCTAGTGAAAAAGAAGCTGCACAGCTTGGCAGTGCAGCGTTCGACTTTCTTCAGATGCCAGCACTGGAACCATCCCTCTTCACCAGGAAGGCTCGTTTGACCGGCCCGCAAGAGTCGCACCGATGTCTCGGTCCAAGTCGCTCTGCTCGCTTGAACAGAACCAGCGCTCGCAAAGAGCGGTTCTCCGCTTTGCCTGCGACCTGCAGAGCCTGCGGCGACGGGTCGACCCCACCGTGCACAGTCCGTGTGTGTTTGTCTTTCCTTCGTTTAAAAACGCCCGAGGAAAGCCATGCCTCAAACAAAGCCAAGTGTTTCAGGCATTTTCAGGGTGCGTTGTTTGCGAGATCTCTCAGATTTTGCGCAGATTCTTTTCCCACCATCATGTTCCATCATATCTGCAAACAACATACTTTTCGGGGGGTCCTCGCGAAACAAGACCCCCAAACGGCCAATCACCAAATGGCTCATCGCCAACCTCGTTCACAGTTCGCACAGCCCGGTCGATCACTGGCTTCAAAGACTTGTCCTGCACGGAAATCGCGATGTGCTGGTAGGTACGTAGATTGTAAGAGAAGCCGCTGTAGAACATGTAGAACTGTATTCGACATGGATATGCCATGACATGCCAAGAAAGACTGAGAAACAGAAACTAGCGAGCCCTTTACCTGAGTCGTCCATCAAAACACAACTCGCTTCTGCATGTAGTGTTCTTTCGGCTTGGCCACCACATCCTGAAACTGGAAGACTGCCCCAGTTTCTCAGTGAGCGGCTTGGGCATGACGGCACCGGCTGAACTTAGAAAACATCTCACAGTATGTGTACCGTATACCAGTCTACGGTCTACAGTATACGGAGGATATGCCTCCTCTCGGATCTCTTCCAACGCCGTGCTACCGGTGTTTGGTTCCCTCCGTGGGCTCCTCCAGCTTGTCCAGCACTTTGGTGTTGTTCAGCTGGGTGAGCAAAAGCAATGCATCTACTTGCACCCTGGCCACATCTGTTTCAGAAGTTGAAAAATGACAATAAGTGTTAACAACCCAACAGTTTGTTGTGATTGCTTGCGGATGTAGGCCCTGCGAACACAGAACTACAACATAAGACTCCAAAATTGCCTGAAAAACACCAAACAAACATCAAAATCCTTGGGTCAAGAATCTATTCCTCTCCTTCCCACGGATCTACCTCCTCTCCTTCCCCACGGCTTTGAAGTCTTGAGCTATACAGTACACTATCCAAAAAACAAACAGCCTTCAGAACGCAGTTTTTCTCTTTCATGTAATAAATGTCTTGCGCATTCTTATGCCCCCTGCCTGGGGTTGCGGTCCTTCTTCCCAAGGGCAGCAGCATCCTGTGCTAGCCGTTCAGCCTCTTGGTAATTGTCGTCCTCACAGTTTTCAGGCTGCACTGAGTGAGTATGGACGCGCTAAGCATGTTCGGCTAATTTTTCCTGGTCAAAGTGCGTAGCTAGACTCTTGAAGCCAAAGGCAAAAATGAAATAATGCGTGGCAGTGGCTGCTGCGGAAGGGTAATATATATTGCTGCTGCTGCCTTATGCTTATGCTATGTGTATATGTTGATATGTGTATATATATATATGTGTCATTTGCAACCTGTCGCATGTTCGAGCCGCTTCATGAGAGTGTGTGCTTCGCATCCATCTCCTTCTCAAGATTGGGAGGGCGGGTGGTGAGCCTTTGTTACCACTCGAGATCAGGTATCTCGGTCGACCGCGCCGGAGCGCCATAGGAGAGAAAGGTGAGCTACGGGCAGCGCACGGCACTGGAGGAAACCACAGGTGTTGTTAGAAGCAGGGCTTCAGTTGAATTGATTGCAAGTTGTCATTCACAGTGAGAGCCCAATCCACCGGATCATCCCTTCCAGTGCCGGACCGAGTTTTGGTCTGACATTGGCAGCGGAGCTACCTGGGCGATCACACAGGGAGTTCTTGAACAAGCTTTGTTGAAAGATCTGCAAGAGCTACGCCAGAAGCTTCAGAATCTTTGGAAGCTCCTCTACAGGAAATCAGTTGTCGGCATTGATCCCCTCATTCGACCCGGCAGTTGACAATGTGGAGCAGTGGTCGCAGAAAATCGAGCTGCTCACCCAGGTCTGGCCGGAAGGGAAGCTAAGTGAGTTGGCTACAAGGATCATTCTGAACTGCAAAGGTTCTGCATTTGCCAAATTACAACTGAAACAGAAAGAACTTTTGGCAGGCACAGTTGAGAGCATTGCACAAACTGTTGACATTGTTGGAGGCCAATTCGGCCAATTGAGCCTGGAACGCAAATTCGACATAGTTGAAAAAGCCCTGTTCCGCTGCAGCCAAAAGCCTGATGAAAGCTCTGATTCCTACCTGGCTCGGTCCGAGGTAGTGTGGACAGAGCTGTTGATGAAAAAGATCAACCTCGCAGAGGTGCAATCATATATAATTCTTCGTGGAAGCAAGCTGTCCGTGGAAGATAAGAAGTGTGTACTAGTTGAATCTGGCGCAGAAAAAGCTGGAAGTGAACTCGACATGAAGAAGGTCGCCGCGGCCATCAGGATGCTCAGGTCCAGCTTCTTCCAGGAGTATACTGCCGGCAAACGGGAGAAGACCCAAAGAACATATGACCACATGGCATTTGGAGTCGACGAACAGGAAGAATCCTATGAAGAGACCCATTTGGGACATGGAAGACTCCTATGATGAGGAGGGCCTGGAGACTCTGCCATGGAGGATGATGACGCCTCCCTCATCTTACAGTTTGAGAACGCGGTGATGGATACAATACAAGATGACAAAGAGTTGGCAACTTTCTTTGTCAGCTACCAGGATGCTCGCAAGCGCCTTTTGGAGAAGACCAGGTCACGGGGTTTCTGGCCTCCCCGACCGTTCAAAGGCGGAAAGAAAGGAAAAGGAAAAGGCATCAAAGGGAAATCCAAAGGACTTCCTCGTCGCTTGCCAATTCCTCGCGCCGTTTGTGCGGCCAACCGGGACATTGGAAAGCAGAGCGCCCCAACGAGAAAACATCCATGAGCAGCGACTCCAATCAGATCCCCACGTCGGTGGTCGTCGAGTTGAACTCCTGCTTCAATGACATCCCTGAAGTCAGTCGTGCACCTTTGGAGTCCAAGTCAGTGGAATGTTTTGCTGTTTTAGATCAAGCCATTTTGGGGATTCGTGAAAAGCTGAAGGAGAAACTGTCAAAAATCGTCGCACTAAGGAGACTGCCGAGCACTCAGGTTCCTGAAAACCTCCCGCAGTTTAGACAGAAAGCTCAGGAGCCAGTTGCCGAACGGTCAGCACTTGAAGCGATCACACGCTTCGCCTCAGCCGGAACGATAGGAGTGGTAGATCCTGGAGCCTCACAAACTGTTATTGGTAGTAAGCAGGTACCTGAGCTTCTTTCAAATCTGTCTCCGTGTTCCAAACCAAGTTAGGAAAACATCCGGTCAGTTAGTATTCCGTTTCGGCAATCATCAGACTCTGACCAGCAAAGTGGCTCTTGCCCGTGCACAAGACATGGTTTCGGATTGCGATCGTTGCAGACATTGTGGAGCAAGTACATCGGGTCATACCTAGAAACCACCAAGTCACCATCCAATTTGACGCTCATGGGCTCATGGACTCCAATCTTAATTGTGGCCGCAGGACGTGTCGCATGTCGAAGACATGGTGCAGGTACAGGGATCGAACAAGATCACTCGGATGAAACTGATCCTTCAGTTCCAACTCCGTTGCCAGCCGATGAAACGTCCAAACGGGAAACAGAACAGTGTTTTGAGTCACAAGCCACGCTGTCGTGCCTAATTAAGACCAACCCCTCCGATAAAGAAAAGGCTGATACCACCGCATCCGTCGTTGTCGAAAGCACCAAGTCGAAGCACTTGAGCTCTCAAGACCGACCGTGCCTGAACAGAGCTGATCCTTGCATCAGTGACCAGCCTCAGCCAAAAGCTCGCCTCATTCCAGAACGCCGTCAAGAAGGAGAGCGAGATCGAAGAGCGTCAGGAAATCGATCAGATTCCCCTTGCCCGTCTCAAGATGCACCCATCGCATTTGGGAAAGCCAAGCTCGGCCAAGCCATCGAACAAGCATTCCAAGATCAAGCTTGGACGAAATGGTTCGCGTCAACCTACGAGGGCAGTCAGAAGATCGAGCGCGTCAAGTTCCTCCGGTACGTCCAACTGCAAGTGGAAGAGAGTGCCTCGAATCAAAGTCTCCCAATGACCACCCAAGTCAAGGGATCGACGTACCTGCGCCCTTCTGCGCCAAGGACCGGGAGCGTCAAGACGGCCATCATCAAGAACAGCAGGATCTTCGCGTGTCTCGCATCAAGTCAGCACTGAGTCAGATCATCCATCACATCGAGAACAAGCAGGAACGTCAGGGCCCTCGGACAATGGTCACGGAGGAAACGAGCTGAGTCACGGGGAAATTGAGCAGTTGTGCAATTTGAGCCAGGTATCTTGGATAAGCCACTACCGATGTTGATTTCGACCACGCCAATCAGCAATCGTATACGAAGATTTGCACCCGGTTTGTCAAACAATTTCATGAAGAATACCGGCAAATATCCCAGGTGATTCAGAGTAAGACTCAAAAACATTTTCTGTTCGAAGTCATGCGTTCCCAAGATAGCGAGTTGACTCGTCAGGGCATTCAGCAGGGTCTCCTTCAAACACAAAGTGGTAGAAGAAACTTGATGCGTCACTTGGCCCTCAATCGACCGGAGCATGTGTGGATTAGCCCAACGCGTGTGGACCCTGCTGCCAATGGTCCCACCTCAATATGAGCAAAAGTGCAGTTTTGTGTGAGGCAATTCTCAAACAGCGTAAAGAACATATCTGGCAAATTGCACTGCCGATATTTTTGTGTCAACATCAAGGAGAGAACGGTTGCCATTTCCACTGTGAACAGCCTCAGGGCTGTCAGATGTTGAAGTTGCTGTGTTTTCGTCCGATCATCCAAGAAACCTCACAGTGCACTTTTGACCTGTGCCAAGTTGGAAATTTGCGTGAACCCGTGTCCCAGGAACCGATGCGGAAGAGTTTTGTGGTTTGCACCACATCCAAAGAGTTGTACAATAGTTTGAACAATGAAATGCCAAGAAAACCACCAGCACCATCAGATAGCTGGTAACACGTTTTTTCATGGCCATGGCACGTCATTGTCAAGGTTCACCGAACTTTATCCTCGCAAATTTGCAAGACAAATCATCCAGAGTCTTCGAAAAGACCGAACTCGGAAGCTGGGAATCTTCGCGGCAAAGGATGAGGATCATCCAACCAAGCGTCGACGCCTTGGCCAGAAGGGCAGTCTCTCCCAAATTCAACTGCTGTCCAACCAAGTAACCTGGGACGATATCATGAAAGCAGCAGACAGTGAAGCCAGTGAAGCTCCTCGGGTTGGTCCAAAGGTGGTCACCGAAGGTCACCTGATCCAAGCTGTCCAGAGGTTGTTTCCTGATCACATCTTCAACCACCTGGTATTGCGTCGAGGCATGGATAGGATGGTTGGACCGGATACCAAGATTTCTCCAGGAGTTGCACCTCTCCGAAAGTTTGCCTGCATTCGACGACGTTTTGAAAAAAATCACTGCTGAAGACTCATGGGAGCCCTGGGAGAACCTGTCCGCAAGAAAGCTGCGTCGGCCTTGCACTGCTTCGAGATGCGCCCTGACTATTTTTGCAAGGACCCGGGCGCTGGAAAGAGATGTAGGTCCGAGTATAAAGTGAAAAGGACTCATGGACAACTCCGATCAGACGCTCAAGAGCCGTCGTCATGAACACTCGGAAGAAGCACCTCTGTCACTGGAGCACATGGGTCAGCCAATTCAACAGCATGCATCAACTGGACCTCAACCAGAAGAGCCGTTCGATCGACCTAGTAGCGGACAAGCACGGCCCGAAGATGCTTGCACTAAAACCGGAAGAAAGAAGTTGGATTCTCAAAGTATACAAGAACATGGGCCATCCTAGCGCGGTCAAACTGAAAACCTTTTGCCAACAAATGGGTTGCCAACCTCAACTGCTCGAGGCTTTGGACGATTTGAGGTGTTCAACATGTGCTGAAACCACAGGTCCAAACATTCCTACGCCGACACGAACTCTCATCTCAGCACTGCCAGTCAGTCCGCCAATCGAAAGGCCAAAGCACGTTTGGTAGAACCTCCAGCCGAATGAGATTTGCCGCCTGTCGGCGGGAGCCTATGGGCTCGTGAATGCGCCACTGTTGTGGCTCACGGAGCTCACTAAGGCCTGTTGGAACTCGGATTTGAAGCCGCACCATTCGACCCGTGTTGTTTCATCTTGTTTGATGAGTTACACCACCGTAGACCCCAAACAGTTTGTGTTTTGCAATATCGAAACTAGAGCTTGCAACGTCCAGAGCTGGGAGACAAAGGATTGCAAGGCAGAGGCGGCCACAGCAGCCCAGAGCTGGGAGACAAATGTAAAGGATTGCAAGGCAGAGACGGACACAGCAGTACAGAGCGGGCGGACACATCTTAAGAAAGAATTGACCAGCAGTAAGCCTTTTGGGGAATTATTCTTCAAGCGCGAACATGATGCTGGTCACGCTGATCAATCAGCGGGAGCTGACCACGTGAGGACAATGAAAAAAAACATGAGGAGCGAAGGATGTGACATGAAATTGATCTTTCGCGCCTCGCCCCAACTGAACAAAGAGATCGCTGCCACGCCGCCGAAATCCAATCCGGTCATTCATCCAACGCTTGCCCGAAAAGGAAAACAAAGCTGAGAGAGTTACACAGTGTGGCAGGAATGCAGTCCCGAGACAGTCACCCACCCGTGAACCTGTTCCAGCGGACAGGGCAGAAAACAGCAGCGCAGGCACCAAACCTGAAAGACAAAAAGAAAGAAATCACATGGGAGACAAGTGAATAGAAACGCTACATGGCCAGCGGAAAAGGGCGGCAGCACCAGTGACAGACCCGGGAAACAAATGAATAGAAATGCTGCATGGCCAGCGGAAAAGGGCGGACACCAGCAGTGACAGACCTGGAAAACAAATGAATAGAAATGCTACATGGCACCAGCAGTGACGGACGGAGACAAATGAATAGAAATGCTTCATGGCCAATAGACAAGGACACACCAGTGACAGACCTGGGAGATGAATAGAAATGCTGCACGGCCTGCGGAAAAGGGTGACAGGCCTGGGAGACAAATGAATAGAAATGCAGCGGACAAGGGCGGACACCAGCAGTGACAGACCTGGGAGAGAAATGAATAGACAGACCTGGGAGACAAATGAAAAGAAATGCTACATGGCCAGCGGAAAAGGGCGAACGCCAGCAGTGACAGACCTGAGAAATGAATAGAGATGCTGCACGGCCAGTGACAGACCTGGGAGACAAATGAAAGAAATGCTGCGTGACAGACCTGGGAGACAAATGAATAGACATGCTACATGGCCAGTGGAAATGGGCGGACACCAGCAGTGACACAAAGGGCGGACACATCTTAAGAAAGAATTGAACCCCTAACAGTAAACTGTTTGGGGAAAAGCGGGCGACAAACGCAAAAGAAGTGGAAAGGAAGTGGGAGACAGATGAAAAGAAGTGGGAAACAAATGAAAGGAAGTGGGAGACAAGCCAGCCGGGAACCCGACCACAGAAGTTTCGTCGGGGTCCATGTGGATGACGGGTTATTTCTTTCACCAGAAGATGAATCAACTGGAGAAGATATTTCCATTTGGAAGTAGAAAGCAAAAGAATTTCGTCTTCACGGGTCTTCAAATCAACCAACAAGAAGACTACACCATAACAGTGGACCAGACCCAATATGTAAAAGATATAGGCCCCATCAGCATTGACAAAGACAGAAGGAAACAACCTGATGCTCCCATCAATGAGGAAGAGCGACAAGCTTTTCGGGGTCTCATCGGAAGTCTTCAATATGCTGCAGTGAATACACGACCAGATCTCGGGGGCCGACTGTCCTTTTTGCAAAGCAAAATAAACAACGGCCAAATCAGTGATCTCATCGAAGGAAACAAACTTCTACATGATGCCAAAGTACATTCTAAAGTACAATGTCCGTATCAATATACCCCCAAAGAAGATGTTCGATTTGTGGCCTTCTCGGACGCTTCTTTTGCTTCCGAAAGAGTGCAATCATCTCACCAAGGACTCATGATCATGACAGCCCATGAATGTATAGGACAAAATCACAAAAGTGTCGTGAACCTAATACTGTGGTCCTCCAAGAAAATACAGAAGGTAGCCGTGAGCACCCTCTCAGCAGAGGCAATGGCTTTAGCAGGCGCAATGGATCTTCTCGCATGGCGCCGTCTCTATTGGGGATGGCTTCTCGATAAAAGTTGCCAATGGAGATTGGGGGATAAAACACTGCAAAGGTTACCTCCCGCCTTTTCGGCCCTGAAAGATGAACCAGGTCTAATAGAACCAAACACATCATTGAGTGAAAATCTTGAAAAGCTCCAAGTGATAGGCAAAGCCGATTCACTCATTGCTACGGATTGCAAAAGCCTTTACGACCTCATCAGCAGAAAAGCTCCTCCTGCATGTCAGGAATTCCGGACATTGTTGCAGGCTCGGTTGATCAAGGAACACCTCGCCACTGGAGTGGCCATTCGATGGGTTCCATCCAATGCGCAAGTCGCAGATTGTTTAACAAAGGTCATGGACACATCATCACTCCGGGAGGTCCTTCAGGTAGGCAGGTACCAGTCGAATGATGAAGAAAAGATCCTGAAGAATAGGTCCGACCACAAATCCCGCCTCAAATGGATTCGAAGCCATCCTCAGCCGACAACTGATCTCAGCAAGTGAGAGAAAAGCCAAGACGTCTCCGCTTGTCTAGCGAGATCTTCACCACAGCACCTTCAAGAACTCAGCGAAGTCTGAGAGAAGGAATGCCCAGCTTTGAAGCCACGGGAACTGGTCAGTGCGCAACACCACTGCACAGACTTCAAAGCAAATAAAATTCAGAGGGTCATGTATACTCAGAGGAGTATAGTTTTTGTTCATGTGGGAACGAAGCTTTCGAAACATGCTTGACAAATAAAATTAGTTTTGGGAATGTCATTTGCAACCTGTCGCATGTTCGAGCCGCTTCATGAGGGTGTGTGCTTCGCATCCATCTCCTTCTCAAGATTGGGAGGGCGGGTGGTGAGCCTTTGTTACCACTCGAGATCAGGGATCTCGGTCGACCGCGCCGGAGCGCCATAGGAGAGAAAGGTGAGCTACGGGCAGCGCAGGGTATTGGAGGAAACCACAGGTGTTGTTAGAAGCAGAGCTTCAGTTGAATTGATTGCAAGTTGTCATTCACAGTGAGAGCCCAATCCACCGGATCATCCCTACCTTTGTCGAGTTTTGGTCTGACAATACGTATTGTACAGTGTATATATATAAATATTATATATTGCTGACAGTTACAGAATCTTGCACTTCTTTGATGTCTTCTTCACTGTGGTGTCCTTGTCTGCAAGAACTACCTCAAATTTGATTCCAAAACGTCAAAATGCATGACCCTGTGTGTGTGTGTGTCTTTGCAAGCAAGCAAGCAAGCAAGCAAGCAAACACGCACGCACGCACGCACGCACGCAAGCAAGCACGCAAGCACGCAAGCACGCAAGCACGCAAGCACGCAAGCACGCAAGCACGCAAGCACGCACGCACGCACGCACGCACGCAAGCACGCAAGCAGCCAAGGTAAGACAAGCAAGCCAAGGTAACGCAAGGCAACCCAAGGCAAGGCAGGGCAAAGGCAAAGCAAAGCAAGGCAAAGAGACGCAAAGCAAAGCAAGGCGAAGCAAGGCAACGCAGAGCAAAGCAAGCTATAAGCAAGCTTTATAAGCTCAGCAAGCTCAGCAAGCTAGCTAGCCAGCCAGCCAGTCAGTGATTGCTTCATTGAGCCAACTGTGTCCTTCATGTGCAACTGAGCCAGTTGCATCATGGCATTGGCCTGACAAGCAGGGCGGCCAGTTCCTCGCACACACAAAAATATGTAGATAGCGTATGGCGTGTCATATCTAGATGGCCCATGATGGCCCCAAATCCAAAAATGCCCTGAGTCTTATGACTTTGAAGTTGTTTTAGGGTATTTCTCCTTGCTGGGAGCCACAAAACATGGACATTTGATCCCCAAGTCATCGATCTAGACCAGCCAGTTTTCACTCACCACTTCCTCCCAATTTCGATGGACCACTCTTTCATCCCCTCCGTGTCCGTGACACCCCAGACACCCTTTTGCGCCGCACCCCCGCCGAGGTCCCGCCCACTGCCTCCATGGAGAGGTCGTGGACGCCCCGCAGGACCGCGAGACGCTCCTCGGCACATTCCAAGGCTTGGTCCAGATCACCCGCTTGACCACCTGAGTGACTCGGGACGGAGGGGTCGGAGCGATGGAGTGAGTGATGGAGTGATCGAGAAATGAGGGAAGGAAGAGGCAAATTTTGGGAGGTCTGTTCGAAGAAATAAATGACTGGTTTGATTTTGACATGTTTGAAGATGCATCTCTTGGACTGCTTCATACTTCCAAAGAGAAGGGCCAAAGATCAGTCGAATTTAGTCCAGGCATGTTCAGGCCAAACGTATAAATTGGCACGGATGAAAGACATAGACGTAGATGATGCCAGTACATTCTCTTGCCAAAGATGTTTGTTGACACGGCTGTGCATGAAAATCCTCCGAAAGAACCCCTGGAAGAACACAAATTAGACCAAAAATCTATTGGTTGAGGTCCTCCCTATTTTCATACACCCATTTTTTGACTGAAGAATGTTGAAGAGCCCAAACGTTGAACGGAATCCCTCCTCCGTTGTTTCAGGGTCTGAGGCGCCTCAGAGCACCACCCATCTGCTCACCACTTCAACTAGGAGCCGGGCGCAAATCCGCCATGAAATGAAGACATTGAGCCTGGTCATGGAATGACATTGGGATTGGGATCATTGAGCGTTCAAGTCATGTTTCGAAAGCGTTTTCCACTTGAGCATGTGAACCCCTGAACAGGACAGGGCCCACCGGCTATCCACCATTTGCTCGCTGCGTCGTGGCCATGTGAACATCTGTGAACATCGAACAACGCACCAGCCTCTCCACGGGGCCAGTAAGACTCTTGGAAGAACTCCTGAGCCTGCTTGGCCAACCTCGCTTCGCGGCGCGACCGCCGGACCTGTCGCACCGGTTGGTCCATGACATGCAGACTGCGGTACTTGTAGTCTGAACCATGAACCAGGCTCGAAGGGCTCAGTTTTCCCATCTAGTGTGTCTGGAGTCTGGGGGTTGCCAAAAATTGAACAAATTGGTCAACTTGGGAGTCGAGCCACCAAACGAAGAGGAAAATTCCACCTTGCAAAAGAACAATAGGTGGACAATGTACTTATGCTCATGAATGTGCATAGTGGCATAGTGGCATAATGAAAAATGTATGTTCTGCAACTGGTTGAATGGAAGAAACGTGAAGAAACAAATGAAACAACCAATACCGCCGCCGATGTTGGACTGCAATCCCCACGCGCTGGCCTGTCATGTCAGCAAGCCCGTTCCATGTGAGGTGTAAGTTCTTTTGAAGAAACAAACTACGATTTGAAGAACCAAAAGCCTCTTCTTCTTTGAGACTTACGCCCCCCCTTCCTCGTCTGTTTCTCCACCAAACCAAGCGTCTTCAACGCATCCTCTTTCTTCCCCATGGAGCCCTGGGCCATTGCTTCGCGCAGGATGGCCCTGAAGCGGAGGTCCCTCGACCCCGTCGAGGCCGTCGGAGTAAAAAGGGGTGACCGGTGCAGGAGTGAGTCGTGCACGAGCGGCGCCTAGCTTTGTTGTTGGCTTTCCGGATGAACTGGTCCCCAACGTTGCTGTAAAGGTCTTTGGGGTGAGGGATTGAAGTTTAAGCCCCGAAAAGAATGTTGGAACACACGCGGCCATGCACAGCATCTTTCCGTGCTCAAATAAAGTATATATATATAGTTAATGATGTCTTGACCCCTCATCTGAAGTCCACGCTTGGACTAGTGCTCATCTCAAACATGCCGTAGTGAGTAGAAGTTTCCTGCACCACAAGAGTCCCCCTGCAATTAGTCGACTGAAAACTTTCTGCCTTCAGACTCTTCTGCCACAAATGCCAAGTGATCTATTCAAGGTTGACTTTGTTTGACATTCCATGCAAAAGCCACCCTGGCCAAATCCTGTTTGATCAATCAATGCATTCTAATTACCATAATCGTCCATAATCATCCATGTACCACATGTCGCTGAGATCCCAGCATGGCTTCAGCGCGTTTGTCTCCATTCTTCTGTGCCATCGTTCTGGCTTCCTTCGCTACTCGAAGAGCCGCCTTGGGATTCCTCGCGAGTCGAAGCGCTGGGTCGAAACCCAACGAAAACCACAAGAGTCATCTTTTTATTATGCGAACTACTTGTGGTGGTTTCAAATGTGGGCTTTGTATGGCTTTGGCACCACCCTGGTGTTAGTTTTAGTGGTAGAACCGGTACTTCCTCTATCCCCAGCCACACCTCACCTCAATGCACATCAACGCCCTCACCTAAAAGAAGCTGGTCGTTTCTTCTTCCCGTTGCTGCGACCTGCCGGCGTGAAACGTCGCGTGCCCGACAAGCCTCTGTCGGAAGAGGAGAGCATCGATGAGGTTCTGCTGCAACCTGGAGGTCTCCTCATGAAGCGAAGAGAGACCGGTCCGGTCAGAGAGACGGTCCGGGTCGGTTCTGGTCGCATGCGGAAAGGAAAAAGGAAAGGAACAACAACGCACCGGTGAGATCTCTCAGGTACCATGGTCGCACGTGCAGGTACGGTCGCAAGATTTGTTCAGAGCAGGATGTTGGTAGTTCACTTGGACAAGGGGAGTAGTCCTGAAGCAAAGCTGCAAAAGCTGATGTTGTGGCAACTCGCTTGGGCTGTAGTCACAGCCGTCCCCAGTCTCTTCGCGACACCGAAGTCACAGCATCGGTCTCAAATCGGTGTCGGCGTCCTGCATGTCTCCAGCAGCTTGCGCCAATCCGATGGTCTTATCCAATGTCTCAATGGCCTCATTGGTGTCCTGACGTGGGAGAGAAGTCGGGCGTCCTCCCCACCGGGAGGACGACTCCTAACCGTTAGGAGAATTTAGTGGAGATCCACTCGTTCCCAGAGTCAGGTCATGTGGATTCATGTGGTATCTTGGTATCCATCAATGTCAAGGTAGAAGTGGAGATCCAACAGGTGCCAAAGCTGATGCACACTTTCTTTGCAGTGCTTTCTTTGCTCACCACTCCTTCGCCTTCATGTGGGCCTGGGCCACTCCAAAAAGGAGCTTCCTGAGGACCGCCGGCCAAACACTGCACGCCTCTTTACGCGCCGTTTAGGCCGAATGTTGTGAGCTCTCTCTCTCTCTCTCTCTGTCTCTCTCGCTAAGTGAAGCACGCGCTCCATCGCTTGTCTCCCAAACGGTCCGCAATTTCTCTGGCTTCATCCACCGCTTCGATGGCCTCAAAAAAGGGCGTGTGCAGGCTCCACACCGGCAAAGTGGTGGGTGTTTGATTGGTGTTTGGGAGTGCTTTTTCATGGAGAAAGTTGGAGGATGTTGGGAAGGCTGGAAACCAGTGGAAACTGTGGAAACCATCAAAGCCTCGAGAAGGCCTATGTCATCTCCCCCATCTTCACACCTTGAAAAACAGCCAAGGGCGCTTGCACGCCTCGCTCCTTCGTCCGCGGTCCTCCGCGGTCCTCTGCGGTCCTTCGCACGATTCCCCCGGGCGAGCCTTGTCGGGTTTGTCCATGACGATGTAGACCCTGCCCATGGCGTCCTTCACCATCCCCTGGCCCAGCTGACACCCGAGCTCTCCAAAGCGTTCGAAGGCCGACTTCGCGAACTTGATCGCCGGCTTGTACCTCGTGACGAGGGATACGAGGTGTCACCAACGTCTGATTTCTTTCTGCGGAACGGGAGTTGAAGCATCTGAGGCTGATTTGACGGAATAGGTACGAGTACATAGTCTTCAGTGGAATTCTGAGCACTATAGTGAGGAGAGAAGACGAACGGAACATGCGCAAGTATCCTTGCTCGCTTGCCGCCACGCGTCTGCTTTAGCTCAGCCATTACTTCGATGATCATGTAGACGCACATTGCCTGAAAGCCGTCCCTTCTCAGAGTGCAGCGGGGTGCGGCCACACCAAAAGCACGAGCTGGAATCTGAAGTTGCGATTCTTTAGCTTTATGATGTCACGACGTCCTATCCTTTTGGAGACATTTAATACATACCTGGATCCACAAATAAGTTGAAATTATAACTTGTGATTGGAATAAGTTCTTATTCTTCATTCTGATCACAATTTATACTTTCGAACGGATATTATCGTGTATTACGCTTATTATCGTCCGTTGTCATCCAGGGTCATTTTTCGAGAACTTTCGGGAAGTCCTCAGATTCTCATCCCTTTTGTATATATAATCGAGTATTGATCCCAGCCTCAAGCGGTTCTTTTGCACTGCTCTCCCCTACAGCGGACTTCCAAAAGCCACGGCCTTCATTCAACGACCGCTCCAACAGACTTGTACCTGCGCTAGGTACCGCTGGTATGTTCTCAGCGCTTGATTCCTCGCTGACACACACCTCGTTAAAAAACTTGCTCTGCCAACGAAATCTTCCTCTTGGAAGCATGCATCACAGATGATATTCCAGCACCATCCACTCCGCTGGCACTGGAACAAAAGTTCTTCCAACAATTCCTGCAACATGTGGTACTTCGGGTACATTGGAAAGTATGTTTTCCCGTGCAAGAGGCTTCTGTGTCCCAAAAATTGGTACGCCTCCAAAAAGTGATTCCCAGCTTTGATCAGTGGCTCAGCACGATCCTTTGGAATCCACATAGCCTCCTTGAACAAAGATCTGAGCAGGAAATTCATCGCTTTGGTGCCAGAAGCCTCAGATCAGGATGGAGCAGGCTCATGGACACTTATTGGTGTATAAATGGGTCAAAACTTTGGTGAAGGATTTGACAGGGAGTTGGTGAAGCACAACTTCCAAAAACCTTACATGACCTGTACAAGAAACAACGAAACGGAGATCCTCGTGAGCCGCGCAAACAGCCTCATTCTTTTGGCAATAGGATTCCATCCATTCCATGAGGGTGGCCGTTACATGGGCCTTATTCCATGATCCGGCAGGTTCGGTCCCCTTCAAATTGAAGGTGTGGGGCTCAAGCTTTTTCAGGTACTTCACCTTCTTGTGCTCGGTGCAAAAATCTAAGAAGTCATCGTTGAGCACCGCCACCCTTTTATCAACACTTGATTCCCTAGTCACATACTGGAGCAAGCTGACGCACGATGCCAGCCATGACTTTCCAATTCCCATGTGAAATGAATGCCACACGTCTATCTTATGGAAGCGTTGGAGGCCACCTGGAGCTTCATCGTGTAGCAACTGTGTCCATGGAGGTTCTTCTGACCACGGCAGTGGGGAACCAAAGAGTCTTGCACGTCGGATCAACTGTCGGGATGTTTTCCTGAGCAGCCAACTAACGGTGTGGGCAACCAACGAATTACTGCAATCCATCTGGACAAGTCGTAGATGTTTAAGTGCACCCAAAAATCTTATAAGAAACAAAGATGAGGGTTCCCTCATGCAAAAGGTAAGCGAGAAAGAAACAGCTTACAGTAAAACATGTTCCTATCTCCTCGATCCACACAACAAGCGTCAGGTCTTCCCAATCTCCCTCTTTGGTGCCGCCCATGCACAAATGACAGATTCCTGGGGGACTGTTCATGTACTTCTTCGCTTGCTGAGCACCTCTTGGAGCACGCCTGTACGATCTCTCCAAATTCGCTGATTGAACCTAAACTGGGTCCAACAACCTTGCAACAACTGCTTTCTCAAACACAGAACCTCTTGGTTTGACAATCACCCCAAAGATCACCAAAACAAAGCGACCATGGAAAAAGAACAGCTGGAACCAGGACCACCAGGGAACTAGATATGACCAGTCGCCCTTGTTGCCCAATACAACTGGATACACAGTGTGCTCACACTGTCCTGGCATCTGAATCCCCTCAGATTCAAGGTGCTTCCAATCATCGACAACCAATCTGATGACCTCCGCGAAAATGCTTGGGTCGTCTTGGTACAGCTCCTATACAGGGCCAAACGCAAGAGAAATTAGATTTATGTACATGTCTCAGGCCCCCCTCACTTGAAAGTCAAAATTGTTTGTTTTTTTGCAATTGTCGACCACGGTCCTTGGGGCAAACAAAGCTCAAAAATCTGCTTTGCATAGCGTTCTTCAACAGGTTGATAGGAATCCCACAAGCCTCTAGATCTTTGTACCATTCATCAGGGGGCCTGTTGTGTCGGCTTCCATGCCCAATCACACCAGCAAATTGTATGATGAGGACACCGTTTCGCTTATACGTTGTGCCCTCATCCCCATGTACCAGTATTGGCAGCAGCTGTGATGGTGTAATTGTTCCCTGTGAGTTCTTGATCTTCTTGATTGCACCGTGTTCTGGAAAGACCATCCCAAAATGGTACCAGAATGCTTCCAAAGCATTCTTCGCGTCTCTAATTGTGGGGATCCCTCCCAGCACCAAACGCAAGTCACCTGTGGTAGACATAGCTTTCAACAGCTTGGATGGGCGAATCCATGGAAACTGATCAATGTCTCCAAGGGGGCTGTAGCTAAGTTCCACAGGATAGACCATGCCATACTTGGAGAAAATTCGAGACACGCCCTCTTCCTTATATAAGTGTTGTGGCAGTTGCACAAGAAAGAATTCGATGCCACATTGACCTATTAACCGAACACCTTGCCAGTATATAATTTGCGGGTGATCTATATAAAACAAATAGTCTGGAAAATTGGTGATGAAGAGTCCGAGGGACTGCATTTTTCTCCGTTACCGCGTGCAAAGCTTTCAGCACGGGACAGCAACGAGCCTCGCTGCCCTCTGGTAGCTCATCAGCACGGTCATGAACATCCGCTTTGGCAGATCGAACGATGTCAACGCAGGAGTCCTTGTAGGAATGTCATGGAATGTGTTGGCACTGTTTCCTATATAACACTTGATCTTTCAAAAGTCCCTCCAACAATATATAACACACGTACTATACCTCAGACATGTTTGCATGGGAACTATAGAGGCCCATACACCTGTTTCATATATTTGTTCATCCCATCCGGGTTAGCTTCCCCATGCCCGCGCAAAGACTGCGCGGCGACTCGCGGCGACCTGTGGCCGAGCATCTCCACGGCCATACTTCCAGGCCAAGAGCTTCGCTTTTCGGCATGGACCTGGCATAAATGACGAGACCACATAGAAGGCATACCAGATCGACATATATGAATCGGATTGCGCTGCTCGATCGAATTGCTGTTAGATCGGATTGCCCCAAGTGGTTTTGCTGTCCGGTCATTTTTACGCCGCTTTCTATGCACCTTTGTGTTCATCACCATCCCCCTGCATGGCTTATACATGCGCATCCATGGGCAAATATTGCCCTTCAGTGCACAAAGGTGTTCTAAAGCGCTCGATCTATGATGTCCCCACTTCAAAAGTTCATGGGCATTGTGTGCATGCAGGAAAGCCCGCACAACACCGATCAAATTTTCTGTACCACGGTGCCTGATCAGGCCTTCTTGGACCTTGTACGCTTTCGGCTACCACGAGTCGAAGTCTCAGCATTGCCAGCGGCCTCAGTTGAAGCCTTGGCAGACTTCTTCTCCAGCTTCTTAGCCTTGCCCTTTGGGCCAGGTTTGGTGGAACTCCCCTTTGCCTCTTTGGGCTTTCGGCCTTTGCCGTTGCCACTTTTGCCATTGGTTTTGTTTGCCTTCGCGGCATCCTTCTTGATTTGCCTTAAAGAGTCTCAAGTACATCCTCAAATGAATGAACCACATAATTCACATCTTTTTGTTGGCCATGCATGTTTATATACATGCAATGTTTATGCACATGCGAACATAAGCTATGTCGACGAGATGCTTGTAGTCAGCATCAAGCGTGAGAAAATCCACACACCTTTGGTTTGGCACTATCGCAATTCCAAGCGGCAAGCATTCACAAGACTGTGTGCAAAAGATCAATGGAGCCATGGATACATATGCTTCAACATTGATCTGCATCAAACGTCCCCCAAAAAATTGTTCCAAGAAACGGTCCCTTCACGTTGCCTTTCTCCACGTCGATCGCATCAACCAGCCTAAGTTGGATCCAGCTTGGTCCATGCATATATACACGTGATGCATGATATACAAACAATCATGGTCTGTCGAAACGGCTGAAACTGTTTCACAATGAAGGGTTCTGTGTGCGATGTTTGGCTTTGCATTTATTCCATCCGCATGAGCAATGAACAGCGTCAATGAATGTGCATGGTTCAGCGCAGAACAACTATACAGCACACCCCATCAGCAACGGAGCATTACTTGGCCTCCGGAATGACCGGAACACATAGTACACTAAGAACGGTCCATCGTCGCTCTCAACTACGCCCTCACCGCCGTCCCTCTCGTTCTTGCACCCTTGCATACCTAAGCTGGTGTAGACGGCAAGGGGATCTAGAAACAAGTAAAGGCATATTGCTGATACATGTACATTTTTTCATGTCCCAAGCGTTTTCAGACGGGCTGCCCATGAAGTGCTGAATCATCGCTGCTTCGACAAAGCTTGCAGAGACCGTATCCGAGGATGCATAGACTACGACCATCCCCTCCCATCGGTTTTTCCATTCCGTACAGTATCCAAACTTTGTGTTGTAGAATCTGCCATGAGCATTGTGTGTATAGCCAATTTTGTATGTCATAGGCGAAGCTCTTTCTAAATGACGTTCCACCACACCAAAGCAGTGTTTGAGTACATGGCCAGGAAGAGCACCTTTCGGAGGAAGGCAGTAGTCTAGCTTGGAGTCAGCTTCTATCATCTCAAAACATGATTTTGTTCTTTGAAGCGTCAAGATAGAAGGTCCCAAGAGGTCTGTAAAGTGACGCTTACGCCTGCGACATTCAGCGACATTCAAGCCCTGGCCACAAAATGAGGTCTTTGGCTTTGGATGCTCTTGAATGCAAGAAGTGCTCAAGGAAGAATGTGCCTTGGTCTACTTTGAGCGGGCCAAGCGATCAGATGTGATGGGCTGGGTT